GGGGGGGGGGGGAAGCACAAGCGAAAAAAGCAAAAGAAACAACAACAACAAAAGACAATAACATACAAAGTGCCTTATTTGTGTTTCTATTCTGTTTAGGTCCAATAAAGAATAGCGACAAATGTAAATTATTTTTATTACTGAGTCTGAAAAAACCCTACATACATAAATTACAATGATTTGGACATGTATATGTGCATATTTATTTTGTTTTTCATAAAGATAATTAAGTATTTTAGGAAAAATTGTCAGTAAGACCATGAGCAAGAGTTGGTGGCTGCACTCTGAGGCCACCAAAAATTTGTTGTGAGAACCCCTGCTCTAGACCATTCATTACTGTATATACTTTTATCAGGTATTTGCCTCCTTTCTGAGGTAAACAATCCCAACCTTTTCAATCTCCCTTTTTATGAGAGTTTTTATAGGCCCTTAACCATTTTTGCTGTTCTCTGAACTTCTGCTAGTTCTACAGTATACTTTTTGAGATGGGGTGACCAGTACTGCACACACACTTATTCCAGATGAGGCTGTACCATTAATTTAGGTAAAGGTATAATGTTCTCTGTTTGATTCACTATCCAGTTTCTATGCATCCTCGTATCTTGTTAGCTTTGTTGACTGCAGCTGCACATTGTACAAAGGTCTTTATTGAGCTGCCTAAATGACACAGTGAGCTGATTGTAGGCAAGTGCAACAAAAGTGATTTGTAGAGAAGGGGATATCATTTACAAAAGACTTTCAAGATAAATTAAAAACACTACATTTTTGACCGTCTTCCAGAAATAGTGGAAACCAGGAAATCCATATATTTATATGGAGCTTTCAATTAAACAGGTAATTTTCTATCATTTCTGTACGGGGCCAATAGGTGACTGAAAAGAATCCACACAAGAGATAGTCAAGCAATTAACAACTTTCATTTGGTGAATTTAACCACTTTACTTTTTGCAAATTGTTTGTGAATAAACTGAATGTAAGGAATGTGCTTGCTATTAAATTGTTCATGTGTTTTTATGTATCAGCCTACAGATTGCTCACAAACTGTTTGCTGCAAGAATTCCCTTGAGAGTAAATACATAATACTTTTGGTCTTAGAGTTGAACTGTGGGATTGTCACACAGATCATATGGTACAGTTTCTGTTTCCTGATTGGATGACTTAAGCTTTATAAACTACTTCTACCAGGAAAAGATACAGTATTTTCACTGAGGAAACTTCACGTAGGGCCTGAAATAACTCTGTATCATGAACAAAACTGATCACAAGCATGTTCATGAAAAACGAATGAAAAGGGATGCAAAAGAACCCAAAGTGAAATTTTATATAGAAATCACCAAAATATTCATGATTTTTTTCTTACTATTTGCCAAATGATAGCACTTTCCTGCTGATGAAGTCAGAAGAGCAAGAAAATAGGGGGAAAGGAAAAATTGAAGGAGAAAGAAAATGTAGGAAGACATGGAAGAGAAAAGGGTGCAGGGGAACAAACTCAGCAGAAAGGAAATAGGCAGTGCTGCTGTGGGAACCCTCCATTAAACAAAGGTAAGGCTGCAAAACGCACAGTGATAAAAAATAAGATAGACATTGAATTGCAGTGTATGTAGCTATGGAACTGTGATGCCCTTATTTATTGAGTGCTACATTTTTTACATGTCTAAGAACCCTAGGAACTAGGAGCAGAAACAGCAGTCATTTTGTTTGCAGAGTTGTTACAACATATACAGAAGAAACACACAGTTTGCTCTCTCACATGGAGACTTTTACTTTTGCTCTTATTGTTGTTTTGTTTTCCTGTATCTAAAATAAGTCAGACTGAAAGTACATGGTTGCTTTGTGAGGATAGAAAAACATACCACATAGTAGACAAAATGCAGTAGAAAAGATAGTGGTTATTATCCTTAGCTATCGCATATATCCAGCTTATTTACTCTCTTTTTTTAAGATGTTTTTAAGAAACTGCTTCTGCATCAGTTTGAGTCTTACATCAATGTAATTGTCATGCCTAATAAATGCTTGGATACCAAAGTGATGAACATAGTATAAAACCTTAGAGAGATTAAATAGATGCCTGATACTTATCCTGGCAGCAGTGGGAACGTTTGTTACCTGAAGCTATATTACTATGACTTTGAGAGAGGTAGAAAAAATGGGCGTGGCAAATGGGGAACATGGGCATGGCATATCAAACTCATTGTGGGAATACTGGCTATTTCAGTTCAAAATTGGGGGGGATTGATAAGGACATAGGAAGGCAGAGCCCAACTGCAAAGTGCCTTAATACAGCAGGAATTGGAGGCAATGAGGAGAGATTTTATATACATTATATACATAAATGAAATGTCCCAGGCAGAGGAAATAAACAGCACATGTGTTTAAAAAAAAAAAAAAAAAGAGGAAATAACCAAAATAACCAACCACAACCGTCACATAAGACAACTTTATTCTCATCTTGTCTCCTTAATACTGCCCTAATATTATATTTTGATATAATCAAGTCCTGTGGCTGCCATAGGGAAGGTGTGGGGTCAGGGCTGGCACTATGTTGGAAGGAGAGATGGGCCTATGAAAGGGGTGAGGTGATTCACAGTATGAAATAATTTGAAATAGGAAAGGCATATCCAATTGAAACTACTAGGGAACTGTTAGGTAGTGGTATGTAATTACCCATATAGGAATATGGTCAGGATTTCAAGCTTAGAACCCCCTAGCTTTTCAAAGAGTGTTATGGAATCTTCTGTTACATGGCTACAGTATGGGCAGAACCTCAGTTATTCATCTTATCTGAAAGAGCACACGGTGCTCCCTCCAGCAGTATGGTGACCCCTAACAAGAGGCTGCGGGATGGGTTTGGTACTGACTCAAAAAGAAGTTGTCTCCTACTTAGGCCATGATTCAAAACCAGTTGAAATAAATAGAACATCTCCCATTGACTGCAATAGGCTTTGAAGCAAGCTCCAGAACCCCACTTTGTTACCAAGACACTCTCAGGAAAGATTGCATGAGCTCCACTTCCTTTTCATTGGGAAACTGGTAAATATCTACAAAAACAGGCAAGTTCTTCAGTATTTTTTAACAGGCCTTGATATACTAGCTGTACTAGTGCTTTTTTTTTTTCTGTCTTGGCTGGAGTCATCATAATGACTTTCAGGATGCAATAACATTTTCCCCTCAGAGTTTAGACAGTATGAGTTAAGAGAGCTCAAATCCTTTATTATTCTGGGCAGTTGTAAAGGAAAATATTTTGTTAAGGGAAATTACTTGAACATGTATTTTGAACTGAAAGTGCTTACAGAACAAAGGAGCCTAAATTGACAATATAGTAGTTACTTGCTGGCTTAAATGTTTTAGTTATTTAGGATAGTTATATTATTTAAAGAAACATACAAGTGCTCAGAGTCCCGTATTTTTGTAAGGAAGCTACTTGTTTATTGCATATTTTTGGTTATGAAACTGAAACTTTATTTATAGAAAGTGAAGTAAACTGCTATTAATTTTAAGCATTCATGTAAATGATCTGAATACAGTGACTGCAACAATCACTACAGAATTTCAGTGGAACAACTATTGAATTTATGTAAACTCACAAAGAACATTAGGCTTTAGCTGAATTGTTGAAGCCTAAAGCTAAAGAGCAGTTACTCATGTAGCTTGGGAGACAATGTTCGGAAACATTTATTGCAAAAGGTAACGCGTAAAGGAAAGTAAATAAATAAAACAAATGTTGAGTTTAATACATTTGTGGCAAGATCATGTTCCTGTTAAAGTCAATGGCCAAATTTTCCTGGACTAAAAGGGATCAAAATTGGGCCCTTTTATTTCTGTATTTTACTGGCACAATAAACCAAAACATCAAACCATAGTGGAAATTTAAGTGTAAAACTCATGTTTTTAAATGCTGATGCATGCTCTAATTCAACAATCACCTAGACACATGCTTAAACCCAAGTACATACCCAAGAGCTCTGCTGAATTGGGGCCTTGAACACATGAGTAACTTTAATAATGTGATAGTTCTGCGGAAGTCACTTTATTAATTTTGCTTTTGTATTTTTTTTTCTTTGTGGTTTGTGTTGAGCACAGTAAAACTTTTGCAAAACAATTGCTTTTATAGCAGTTGTGATACCACATCCTTTGTTCTGGACATCTTTGTGTTGTGATTGCTTCCACACTTACTTCAAAAAAAATAAATCTGGTCTCTGCCATTTGTTCACTCTTGAAATTTTGTCTTTATACTTTGGTAGCAAATCTTAATTAGATGTACTTCTGTTCTTTCACTGCTTGTTGACTCTTTCATTTGGGAAGCATTGTTTTCATTATCCTGCAAATATCCAAGGTTCTTTTTAAAGTCAAGTCCATTTCTTGCAATAACCTTGCTCTGACCTGTTTATTCGTTATACCAGAATTAGTTACAAATAACAGATAATTGTTGAATATAACGTTGTTATATAGGTCTGTAACACAGTGGTCAATAGTCTTGTCAGGCAGCTAGTTTCTTGTAAAGAAAACATGCCTTACTGTGACATTCTAGTGTGGATCACAGTATTCCTGAGACTTCTCAATAACTGTGGCGGTTTCCAGTCATCTTTATGATTGTACTGGAACACATTGTAGCTCTCCAATGCCTCTGGGCCAGCCACACACAGCATTTGGAGAATTTTACTCCAATTTCTCTGCAATACCCCTTGCTTCCACAACTGAGGGATCGAAATGGCTTCATTTATTTTATTTTTGCCAACACTAACGTTTTCTTCTGACACTATTTAATAGGAGTGTGACACACACAGGAGTACTTCTGTTTATTTTCTGCCCCAATCATATGATGTGGACCAGGATCACCTGTCAAATCACAGGGATCAGTATCAGTCTCTCTAGTGGTTATAAAACCACAGTTATAACTGAAAACTTGGTAATTTCAGCACAGCGGCTCAGTACACTTACCCTCATCACAGACCGTCTCTTGACACACATTGATTAAATTTTCAGTTTTGCCTTTATGTAACCTACTCAACAGAAAAAATATACTCTAGTCTAGTGCTGTCAATTCAACACAATCCACAATAAATTTACGTGTAAAAGAATTTTTGGGATGGGGAAGGAGGAGAAAAAACAAAAGAAAAGCTACTTGGAAGCTGTTGAGAAAAAGTCATACATATGTGATATATACCAAAGTGAGTTTGTTTATCAAAGTCTTTTCTTTTCTTTTTTCTTTCACAGATTAATAAATAAAGGGCACAGTGGCATGAATATACCCTAACCAGGAACAAATAAAAATAAATTAGAGAAAAGCTTTATTTAGGTATCTACTTATCTTTGTATAACATTTATACTGTTATATTCATCTAGCTTGAGAAGGGAGGGTCTCCATGTGCCATGATTCTTACTAGTGACAGCTGCCATTTGTTTGGTAGTTTAGCCTATGCTACCTGATGCTCGAGGAAATTCAATAAACAAGCCTGCTCACTCACTGACACACCAGATATTACTAGTTCCATTACATACTTTCCATTATGATCACACTTGCCCGTTTTCCCACTTTCCCATTCTTGCTGCTTATTAGGTTCAAGTGCTAAATAAGGAAAATCAGAAATAATTATACATTAATATTTAAAGATCATAAAATATTGATTAATATACCTACAACAATGTTCTGACTTCATTAGTGTGTAAATGTGCACTCCCTTAAATGTCACAGCTATTCAAATACTGAAGTCTTTATTATATTTCTGATTGAAGCATGCTCTGTCAGGGAAAGGAGGAGAGGGAATAAGTACAAAAACATTATCTATGTCCATCCTGTTTGCCTATATTAGATGCCCATCATCAATTTGCCTATTTTGAAAACTAGGAATCATTTAGGGTATGTCTAAACTGCAGCTGGGAGCATGCTTCCCAGCTTGAGTAGACAGATGCACTAGCTCGAGCAGAGCTAGCACGCTAAAAATAGCAGGATAGCCAGAGGTAGCATAGGTGGCAGATTGAGCTGGTTGCCTGAGTAAGTACACAGGGGGTCTGGGAAGGTTTGTAGTCCAGCAGTTAGTCCAAGCTGCTGCCTGTGCTACCTCTGGTACACTGCTTTTTTTTAGTACACTCCCAGCTGCAGTGGATATGTACCCTTAAATTCCATTTGTTCTCCTACTGACTCCACATTGTTAGATTTCAATAGACGACCTCCCACCGCTACATAAAAAGAAAAAACAGATACAAACATAGACAAGGACAAAACATAGCAAAGAAAGGCAGGATCTCCACAACAGTACTGATTTATATAGCATCATTTTTAGGGTTGTCAAGCAATTAAAAAAATTAATCGTGATTAATTGCACTGCTAAACAATAACAGAATACCACTTATTTAAATATTTTTGGATGTTTAAAACATTTTCAAATATAGATTTCAATCATAACACAGAATACAAAGTGTACAGTGCTCACTTTATATTTATTTTTATTACAAATATTTGCACTGTAAAAAACAAAAGAAATAGTTTTTTTTTCAATTACCTAATACAAGTACTGTAGTGCAATCTTTTTATCATGAAAGTT